CCCCCGAATGTCTGTTTTAATTGTCCAATTGCCACAGGGCTTGTCAAAGCCAGTTCTGATTAATCTCCTTTGTCAGTGTGTTCTTTGCCATTCCCTATCACTCCTGTTAAATATTTTTATGAGCTTACTTTTCTAAAACTTTAATGGAGATATAATCGGAAATGTTACATTGTTGTTGTGTACTGTCAAGTCGGAACTGACTTAAAACTAATCCTCCAGCAGCTTTTTCAGAGGCAATAAATTGCTTGGGTCTGGAGATTGCTCATCTTTCTTCTGTAGGACAGCTGGTAGAGTCAAACCCTGTTACTTTGGATTGACAGAGCAATTTCTTACCAGTTAGCCAACAGAGCTTGCTAATTGCTTATCGGTCCTTAAGAGATTTTTACCTTCCCTATTTTCCGCAATCATGAGCAAGAACGTTATTTTTATTTTGCTTCCTTATGCACCTTTGCTTAAACATCAATTAACAAAATATTTTAATATGAGAGTATTTAATAGTTTTTCCCAAGATGTGGAACAGCAAAAGAAGCATATGCACCAAAGAGTTGGGAGAAGAAATAGCATTAAGAGAGTAATATTTATGATTAAATAACAAATCTTATTCTTGGAAACCTCCTTGTCTTTCATGTTTTCAATTTTGGCAATATGAAAGCAAGCATGTGCAATAGCATGTAAATCATCAGATTTCTTTTTTGTTTTTGTAAAAATTCTCATGAAATGGAGACCTAACCTTCTACCCAGTAAGAAATCCCTAGCTGCAACTGTAAATAGCACATGTCATACTCTGGAGTTACTACTCTGTGTTAGTTTTGGAATTTGATGAAAGATTTGTTGGCCTTTTTGCAATTTACGGGGAGTAAAATCCCTTCTAATGGAAGTTTTAATGTTTAATTCCCAAACAGTTAAAGCAAGTAGTTGATGATCAAGTTAGTGTTAAAACCATGAATTTAACTAAAGCACATATCAAAACAAAATATTTTTCACTTGGTGCTTCCAAGTAATTCAAATGACATTTTTTTCTGTTAACTATTTTTCAAAAGAAACATTGTTAAAAGAGACTGATAGAAATACATTTTATCAGATGGTCAGCTTACTCTCTGAAGAATTGGCCTCTATTAAAAAAATGTATTAAATGGATGAAGTTTAAACAATGCTTGCTCAAATACAAAATTAATGTAAAACTTTAAAGATGCCCACCTACTGCTCAATTTCAAATCAGCTGTGTATAGAACCAAAAGGCCTTCTTTGCTAAGAACTTCTGATAATTATTAGACCTGACTCTTGACTGTTCAGATACTTAATATTTCATTGCCTTATTTAGTACTAGAACTCAAATTTTACATTAAAACCTATTTCATGCATACAACTAAAATCACTTGTTATATGTAAGTCCATTTTTGTGGACATCTCTGCATGATCTGCATGCACTTCTGAATTATTAAGTATAACATGTGGTAGATGCGATACTTTGATAGGTCTTCCCACTGCCCTCTCCTCTACCTTTTTGGGATAATTTTCTAGTATACCTGGAAGTTTTCCAACAGTCTTGCCTGCTTCCCTAGGGAAATGTCTGAAACACCAAAATTCTTAGCCTCCTCAGTCAAAACACCCACTTCCTCTTTCTGACCAGTTGTCCCCAGAGACAAGTAGAAATAAATCCATTAGCCAAGATTAGAGTGAGTAATAATGTAGTGAATACTCTACATCTCTAGGGTATTTGCATTTTGAAAGAAGACATGATATATTAAGTCTTTAAAGAAACAATTAAGTCTTAATGTGGAACTTCAGGAAACCAAATAGGTGGGAGAGACATATGTGGACTCTCTTTTATTCATCAATTCGCATCACTTACATTATTGACAATTCTACCTTAAAAAAGATGCCCACCCTAGAAAATTAGTTATGACATAATTTTGGGGGAAAGGTTAAGGATGAGGACAGTCTTATATTTTTATCAGGCTTATTGCATTGATTTCATAACCTTGGGATTGAGGTGAAGATCTTGGTACTGTAGTCAATATTATGCCATCATTTTGTGGAATTACAGATAACAACTAATCACGTCATATCAGATGCAAGTAAAAATAGAGTTTGACCTCATCATTTCAAATCTGACCTCCTGTGTATATAAGGTTTGTTCTTCTCAAGAATAGGTTTTGCAGAGAGAAACAAAAGTAAATGGCATTATCACCTAAAACATTCACTTCTTTTTCCCCCTACAGGATGTTGATTCATGGTCTTTTGATGTGTTTGCCCTAAATGACGCAAGTGGAGAGCATAGTCTGAAGTTTATGATGTATGAACTGTTCACCAGATATGATCTTATTAATCGTTTCAAGGTCAGAAATGTGAAACAGAAGTGAAATGCTCTTAAAATGGGTTTTCTGAGAAAAAGAGTGAAAATGCAAAATGTAGAGGTATAAATCAATTAATTTTAAAATGTTTGTAGTTGACAGGTTACAGATCAAGGAAGAGTTTTCATTACAAAATCTAACCATATTCCACAACTACTTAATAACATGTGAACATATCCACCTAAATATCTGAGACCATGAGAGACTTATTCTAACAAGACACTAACCTTTCATGAAAACATCCACAGAACATTCATATAGAGATAGGAAATTGTGTCATAAATAAATATGATCTCTGTATTTGTTGGTGGTGGCCATCTAGTCAAGTACAATACACAAAGACCCTATGGACCACAGATCAGAGCTTTGTCTTATTCTGTACCTGCCTTAGGATCTCTGCCATACTCAAACCTATTATTAGCCAGGTAGGTCGTCCTCTCTTGTGAAGACCATCTACCTTTCCCAGCAAGTCTTTTTCCAAGCACTGGTCTCTCTTGACACTATGCCCAAAATATGTTTATGAGGCAAAGTGACACTGCCTTTGCCTCCAAAGAGCACCCTGATTGGACTTTCACCAGGACAGATTGGTTTGTTCTTTCGGCAGCCCATGAGATATTCAGTATTCTTTGCCAGCATCAATTCAAAGGCATAATTTCTTCTCAGTCTTTCTTTGTACAAGAAGGCTTCATTGTACAATTTTCAGATGCATCAAGGGCAATTGAAAATATTACAGCTTGGATTAGGATCAATTTAGTCTTTAAATTGACATCTTTACCCTTTAGCACTTTAGAGAGGATCTTGGCAACAGATTTTCCCAATGCAACATGTGTTTTGAATTGTTGACTGCTGCTACTATGGGTGTTGATTGTGAATCTAAGTGCATACGATGGAGTCTTTGATAATTTCAATCTTTTCTCCATATCTCATGATGTTGCCTTATGCTCCAATGGTAATAAGGACTTTTGTTTTCTTGATGTTGAAATGTAAACCATATGAATGATGTAGTCTTTTCTCTTCTCCAGTAAGTTCTTCAGGTCTTCTTCACTTTCTTCAAGCAAAGTTGTATCATCTGCCTAATTCAGGTTGCTGATGAGTCTTCCTCTATCGTTCATGCCACATTCTTCTTCATATAGTTCAACATCTCAAAGGATTTGCTCAACATACATATTGAGGAGATATGGAGAAAAGGATAGAACCCTGTTACACAACTTTCCTTATTTTAAGTCATGCAATGTTTATTTGTTGTGTTCAAATAATTGCTTCTTGATCTATGTATAGCTTTAACAGGAGAGTAATTAAGTGTTCTGAGATTCACAACCTTCTCAATGTTAGTCATGATTTGTTATTATCCACACAGTTAAATAAATACCTTTGCATAGTTAATAAAACACAAATAAGCATTTTTCTGTATTCTCCGTTTTCAGCCAACATCCGTATGTCACCAGCAGTGACTTCCCTCACAACACAGCCTGTTCTGACTACATTTGAACTTCTGGAAATTCCCTGTTAATCAATTATTCCAGTCATTTAAAAATGATCTTCACTAAGATTTTACTTGCATACTATATTAAAGATTATTGTGCAATCATTTCCATGTTCTATTGGATCACTTTTTTTCAGAATATGGACTGCCCCCCACCTCCCCAGTCAATTAATCAAGAAACTATCTTCCAGATTTGCTGCACAGGTTGGTGAGCACAACCAAGGTTGCATCTGCTTGTAGAAAGATGTCAATTGGCATTTCATCAGATCTCGATGCCTTACTTTTTGTCATTAATGTCTTCAGTGCAACTTGGCCTTCTTCCTTCAATGTGTTGGTTCTTGATTATCTGGTACTTCCTGAAATGTTGACCGATTCTTTTATTATAGTGACTCCATGTATTCCTTCCATCATTTTTCATGATTCTTTTTGTCTTTATTGGTTTTCATATAATCATTCATATACATCATGTTTTATATGTATACTTCGTGTTTTATTTATTCATTCATTCATTCATATACATTGTTTCATTCATGTACCTTGTGTTTTGTACATTCATACACATTCCATTTTGTATAGTTAATTACTATTGCTCTATGCCTATTATCACACCACCTTTTGAAGGCCCCATTGAACATTTCTCAGTTCTCCATCCCCTCCCCACCCACTAGGGATTTGCTATCCCAGTGATTTTTTTCTTTTTCCCTTTGCTGCTCCATCCTTCTCCACTTCCCCTTCCTCTTTTGAATATTTATGCATATTTTGATCATTTATCCTCCTATTATCACAATAATGGCCTTGTGTAATGTTTGTCTTTATATTATGGAGATGTTTCACTCAGGATAATGCTCTCTAGTATCTCCTAATTGATATAATATTTTATGAAATTAATATTTCTTAGTGTGCAGGATTCTTCCCTCTCTGAATCTGGGTAGTCAGTCAAGGTGTACCTGTGTCTTCTCCTGAGGCAAGGTGGGAGGGGTCACTTCTTCCTTAGCCAAGAGAGTCTTTGCTGAGAGCCTGGAACTTCCAGGGAATGCAGTTTCCAGGAGTAGTGCCCAGGACCCTTACTAGACCTCAATGGTTGATCTCAGTGTATCACTTTCCATCTTTTTTTATATTTCCTGCATCACTCAAGCTTTAGCCCATAGAATCTTTTGATATAGCAAATGAAGACTTGAGTTTGTTTTTGGTTTCTTTAGCTTGAGAAATGCTGAGCGTGTTCTTCACTTTTGATTTTTCTAATTCCAGTTCTTTGTACACTTCATGGTATTACTTTGGTTTGTCTTTGGGAGTTGCCCTTTGACATTTTCTGTGCATCTCTCTTACTTCAGCATTTCTGCCCTCTCAACATTCTAATGCAAGTTGCAGAATCTCATATGATATCTGTTTTAGTCTTTTGTTTCTTCCTTGTCTTTGTAATAGCCTTTTGCTCTCTCCATGAATGATGTAATTGAAGCCATCTCACAACGTGTCTAGTCTTCTGTCATTTGTGTTCAGTGCATTAAATCTATCCTCAAAATGATTTTTAAATTCAATTAGGATAGACTTAGGTCATATTTTGGTTATTGTGGGCTAATTTTTATTTTCTCCTGTTTCAATTTGAGTCTCCACATGAGTAATTGATAGTTTGTTCCATAGCAGCTCATGGCCTTGTTTTGATTGTTGATAATGAGTTTTTCCGTGTGCTCTCACCACAAGTGTTATCAATCTAATCCTTGTATAGTTTACTGGTTGAGGTCTGTGTACAGTGTAACCATTTATATGTGTTTGGATTTTTGGTTTGGTTGGGTTTTTTTTAAATATATGTTAACAATGAGTATATCATTTATGGTACAAAAATTTTATTATTTATTTTCAGCCTTGTGTTTCTGTTACGAAGGCCATATTTTCCAACTACCAATACTTCTTTGGCATTATAGGCACAAGTAATTGTTAATGTATCTTGATGAATTATGTTCAGTTAATTTCATGCTGCAAAGTTGATAGAAATCTGCAATTTTCATTTTTTACTTTAGTAGTTAGTATGCATATTTAAATAATAGCATTAACAGATCTTCCTTGAATGAGCATAAATAGTTTCCCATAATTCATAACATTGCACTTCAGGATTCATTTTGAAATATTCCTTTTTTTTTATTATGAATGTGACATCATTCCTCTTTGTCATACCTAGAATAATAGATCATATGATTACCTGATTCCAAATGGCCAATACCAATCCATTTCAACTCATTAGTGTCTCAGAGTTGATCTTATGTTTTTCATTTCATTTTTTAAAGCTTTCAATTTTCCTAGATTCATACTTTGTGTATTTCCATGTTTTAGTTTTTTAATGGATGTTTGTAGCTATTTCTCCTCTTTTTTGAGTGCCTTCCAAACTAAAGGACTCATGTACCAGTGTTAAAGCCAATAATGTCTCTGCTATTCATCTCCTTTTCAAAGGCCTTTATTTCAGAAGTGAATGACCAGACCTGCATCTTAGTCTTTGGTGTTCGTAAAAGAAAGAATAAATCTTCTTGGTAGTTTTGCTTAATACTAAATAGAAGAACTTCAAATAAGCTCTTTTTAGAGCCACTTAAGCAATGGATGGCCAGTTTAAAGACCAAGCTGTACCTGATTCAAGCCAGATTAAATATTAAGGTATACCTGATATAGCCTAATAAGGTATTTTCAATTGCTTCCTTATGCATCTGAAAGTCAGACAATGAAAATATACTAAAGAAGAATTTAAACCTTCTGATTGTGGTGTCCACTAAGAGCATTCAATAGCATGGACTGTCAAAAGAACAAACAAATCTATGTTGTTGAGATGCAAGAATGGTGAAGCTTTGCGTCACATACTTTGGGCATGTTGTTACAAAGAAACCTGTTCTTGGAGAAAACACATGCTGGATTTGTAAGATAGATAAAGGGTCATTGAAAGAGATGATCCTCAAAAGGACGGATTGACACAGTCACTTCAACAATGGGCTTGAGCATAATGGGGATTGTGACAACAGCACAGGATGATCTATTTTTCGTAGAGTTGTGATCAGCTGTAGTTTACTGAATGGCACCTAACAACATCACCAACAAAAGCAGTGTATTTGATCTGGATTTCATTTTGTAATTTTCATCATTGTTTTTGAAGTTATAACATTTCAGAACTAGAAGGTAGTACAAACTGTCTTTTTTAATTTCTTGGTATTACAAATACAGTAATCTAGACTTTACCAACAGCAATTGCACATTTTTACTCTTGTAAGAACTAGACTTCTTACTTGATTCCTGAAAATGTAAAATATTAAAGAGCTCTGGGGGCCTACTTGTCAGAGGCTGACTTGCAACTGCAAAGGCACGTGGTTCAAATCCACAGCTGCTCTGTGGGAGAATGGGCTATCTCCTCCCATAAGATTTACTGCCTCTGAAAATCCACTGGAGGATCAGCTATGGGTTGGTTTGGACTTGGAAGTATTCAGGAGAAACCACAACACAGTACGAGTAGGGCCATGATATCATTTAACTTAAATATTTGGGTTACAATCCATCTTTTGCTTTTGTGGTTGCTGTTGTATACCATGGAGTCAGAACTCACCCTTAGCTGACTCTCCTGCGGGTTTTCAGAGGAAGTTAATTTCCCCATTCTTCTTCCTTCCACGGAGAGCTGGTGGATTCGAACTACATGCCTTTGGGATTGCAGCACAGCTTCTTGCCAGGAGGCCACCTGTGCTTCTTGTGAGTTTAGGGAAGTTAATTAAAAGCTTGTTAATGAAGTGTGTGACTTTGTGTTCTTGCTTTTATAATATTTATATTTAACTTAAAGAAACTAGTGCCTGCAACTGCATTCATGAAACTGCCCCATCTCAAACATTGTTGCTTTTATGTTAATTTAGTGCCACTTTTTTGGAAAAATATAATCATAATCTTATTTTCCACAGATTCCTCTTCCTAGCCTAATTTCCTATGCGGAAGCTTTAGAAGTTGGTTACAGCAAGTACAAAAATCCATATCATAATTTAATCCATGCAGCTGATGTCACTCAAACTGTACACTACATAATGCTTCATACAGGTATCATGGTAAGAAAGTCTTTATTACTGAAGTGTTTTAAGTTGAAAACTTGTGTTTCTCTGAAGTTTCCATTGCCTTTTTAATAAATCTTTGTTAATAATAATCTTTTCTACTTGTAAAGGTTCATTAGTATATCAGGTACTATAAGCTGTTGGTATTATATGTTATTAATACTTTATAAGTACTCTAAGTTATCATGTTGTAAAAACTATACTCAAAGGCAAAAAAATTATTAACTTTCCAAAATTTGAAATATAGGACATTTTTTTCTTGTTAATTATTTTCCCATGTAAGTCAATCACAAAAAAAGAAAATAGCCCTGGAGAAAGTTTTCTTAGAATAAAAATCACTTTCAGTGGTGAGACTTTTTGTTTTCTTGATGTTAAGATATATTACCTGTTGAAGAATGTAGTCTTTGATCTTCTACAGGGGACACTTCAAGTCCTTCTACCATTCAGTAGCCAAGGTTGTGTCATCTGCATAGCATAGGTTGATGATGAGACTTCCTCTGATCCTGATGCCTCATTCTTCTTCTTAGAGTTCTGCAGTTCCAATTATTTGCTCAGCATACAGATTGAATAGGTATGGAAACAGGTTACAGCCCTTTCATACACCTATCTTGATTGTAAGCAAAGCTTCATCTCAGATACTTTGGTCATTGATCTAAAAGAGGTTATTACTTGGAGTGTGACAATATGCTTGGAATGGTGGAGCATCGGTGAAAGGGAAGGAAACCCTCATCAAGATGGATTGACATAGTGACTGTAGCAATGGGCTACAGTACATCAGAAATTATGTGGACGCCACAGGACAGGAGAGGGTTCAGATGTGTTGTTCATAGGGTCGCTGTAAGTCATATTGAATAGTACCTAACAGCAGTAATAGACAATATCAATTTTTTCTTCCACTTTTCCCCTTGATCATTCTTCCTCCAAGAATGTTTTTCTGTATGAAACTTTACTTACCTTTTTATCGTTGTCTCCTACAGTTTTTTGTGACTAGCTTACTTCACTTTAGCGTATCTTCAAAATTCATCCACAAAATCAATCTCCATAATAGTCTATGTGTTTCCTACTGCCAAAGGGGCCCTTTAGAGTAGTGAGAGAAGATCTTCACCCTGAAACCC